TGGAGTGTGTGTGTGTGTGTGTGTGTGTGTGTGTGTGTGTGTGCGTGCGCACGTGCGCACGTGTGTATGTGTGTTGGGGATGGGGGGTGGAAACAGATATTAACCCAATAAGTCTGAGTGTAAAACTGCAATTGTGCCAAGTGTTATAAAGGACCGATACCCATAAAAGTGCTATGAGAGCCTAAAATAGGGGAATATAGTTTAATGACATTTTAGCTGACATTTGAATGATGAATAGGAGCTAAGTAGTCAAAGGAGATGAAGTTCGCATTCCAGGCAGAGGGAACAGCATGCCATCCCCTGGGGTGGGGAAACATGGTACAGCAATTGCAGGCATAGAGGTTAAGAGTTTTATCTATGGGATGCCATGGACAGGTTTTAAGCAGATGTGTGTGTGTGTGTGTGGGGGGGGTGATAGGATCAGATTTGTGTTGAAAATATCAGTCTGGCCACAGTGTAATAGGTTGGAGGTACTGGATGAATGTGGGTGGTCCATTTATGGAGTTTTGCTAGTGTGCAGGTGAAAGATGGTCTTAGGGCAATAGTGACGCAGATGGACAGAGGTGAGTGAGTTTGAGACTGATGAGGAGGTGAGAGCTACTTCAAGACTCAGGATGGATTGGGGTGGTAGATGAGAGGAAAAGGGGTGGATGAGAAGAGGAGCATGACTTGTAGGCCTTAATTACATAAAGCTGCAGGTACCTTGATCTGTTTGTGTTGCTATAATAAAATATCTGAGGCTGGGTAAAGAGGTGTTTTTGACTCACAATTTGAGAAGCTGAATGATCCAAACAGCATGACAGCAGCATGCAGGCGAGGGCCTTTCTGGTTGCACCACAACATGGTGGAGAAGTGGAAAGGAAAAATGGCGGTGTGCAGAAGGGCATGGATGATCTCACTCCACAACAACCTTCTCTCCTGGATGTCACTGATCCGTTTATGAGGGTGGAGTGCCTATGACCTAATTACCTTCCACCATGCCCCATTTCATAAGGGTTCCATGCTCACCATCACCCTCCGGGGGACCATGCTTCCAGCCAGTGAGCCTTTGGGAGACATACTCAAACCACATCTGAACATGGGAGTAGGTGACCAGTTGCCATTTCATTTGGAAATTGGTGAAGTATGATTTGGGTGTGTATGGGCTAAAAACTGATCATATTTTTAAAAATTACTTTAATGTTCATTAAGGTAATATTTGAAAATTTTTTGGTGAACCAAACAAGAATATGTCTTCTCAGGAAAACCAGCACACCCTCTCTCTCTCTCTTGTCCTTAGCAAGTCCTCAGAGGAGTGTTTCAATTATCTTAACAGTTTTTTTTTTTGTATTTACCTTTGTCTTTCAGTAAATATATATGCTGCTATTTCTTGATTTATTTTTTTCATTTAATGAATACTTTTAAAGCTCCTACTGGGTGCCAGTCACTCTGTTCTATGCAGGGATATCTCAGTGGACAAGTTGTGGATTTAAATTTTTTAAATGTTTAAATAAACCATTACTCTAACCACCTCTTTCTATAGAAGTAGTAACCTATTTACAGAAGTTTATGGATGATAAATAAACAGTGGTGAGGGTGACATAGGGAATATCAGGGATAAAATGCAACCTTAATAAGGAAGTGGGAGAGTGGGGGATGCTACTGAGAAAAAAAAATCTGAGAAAAGACCTGGAATACAGGAGGAGGGAGCCCCATGGATACATGGGGAAGAGCACTCTAAGCAAAGGGAAGAGCATGTGCAAAGGCCCTGAGGTGGGAAGATGTAATATAATTGAGGAAGAGAACATCCTATGGTCCTCACTGCAGGAGCAAAGTAAGTCATGGGAGAGCACTGAGGGTTAAGGTTAGAGTGGTAAGGTGGACTGATAGATCATTTAGGGCTACTCTTAACACCTTGACTCTGAGAGGTAGAACATTACCTCTTGTGTTTGTCCATGAAGCCATATGTCTTCTACTGCTTTCTCTGCCTCCCACATAATATTTTGTTTAAGTCAGTGTTCAGTGTTTATGTCATTATCATTATCAAGTATTATTTTCTGCATTGTCAAGCAGTGCATTATGATAATGTTCATTTAATCTCTTGTAAACATTTTGTTAATAGTAGCCTCATTTTCTTCACCTGATTAATTTTCTGTGTTCCTATTTATAATTTGTCCAGAACTCTCCGACTGAGTTGGAAAATCCCTCTAGACACCATTTTTTTGTGACATATCACACTGAATGTATAGAATGCATCACACTGTGGGTTCTTTTATTTCCCCCTAAAATCTTTCATTCTGAAACCTTCCATTCTCCCTGTCCATCTTGCCTGCTTTCTCTCTGCCCCAGCACAGCCAGTATCGTGGGAATCTGTTTTCCTTCACCTCTATGTTGCATTTCTGTTTTCCTGGACTATGTTTCCTTCTTTCTTGATTTATTTCCTTTTAGGGAAGGGAAATCCTCCAGTCAGCTTCTAAGAAAAGGTAAGTAGAAACTAGGGTTTTTAACCTTTCCCTCACAATGCCTCTGTTCAATTCTGAAATTTCATTGATGGTTGGATGGATATAATATTCCAGGATGGATATCATTTTGCCTCGGAATTCTGGAGGCCTTCCTCCTCTCCTTCCTAACTTCCGGTCTTGCCGTGAGATGTCAATGCTTTTCTGATTTCTTTTTAGGTGACACCCCTCCCCCTCAAGTGTTAATGTGTTCTTTTTCTTGGTACTTTGCATGTGCTTTCATGTGGATGTGTTGGGTATAGGCTTCCTGGACAAGATAGAAGATGCCTATTAAATTTGAATTTCAGATAAACTGTAAATAAAGTTTGTAATATTTGGGACATACTTACACTAAACACTTTTCTCTGCTTATCCAAAATACAAATTTAACTGAGTGTTCTTACTTGTGCTAAAATATGGCAACTTTAGAAGCTTGGCTTTTCATTCTGGAAACTTGTATCTTTTGGTTTGGGGAATTTTTCATGTGTTATTCCTCTAAATTGAAATATTAGTCTAAGCTTAAAAGATAACATATTCAATAAGGCCACTAGCCAACTGTGAACCTGCCCTCTTGTGTTCCCAAATAGAATCTCCTTCAGCTCTGTAGCTGTTTCATCTAGACTTGTGACTGTGCTTCCTAATAATACACTTCCATTGCTTTTTAATTTTTATTTTTTGAGTCTTAAAAAATTAACTTCCTACTAGGAAAGCTTTTAGCTTTTTTAACACCACCAACCATTACTCTCCATGATATACACAAACACCCCACTATATAGACCTTCTCAACCCACTATAGTATAAATGTCATGATATTTATTAGCTCACTATTCAGTTCACTTTATTATGACTGTGTAAATATTATTCCTCATTGAGCCACGTAGTGTTCTGTGCTATAATTATTTTTCATTGCTCACATGACTTTATTTTCCTATGGAATTGCTAAATATCTTCTTTTTATTGCTTAATTTTTTTATATACTTGTCATTGTTTGATGCCCAAAAGGAGGGTGGGGGTTCAGTAAATGTCTCCTGAGCAATGTAAATCTCCTCCTAGTTCATGTGGACATACCAGGCTAACTTTCACCTTAAACTTGACTTTATCCAATGCTTTCCTTCACCTCTGGACTAGGAAACCACTTGCTTGGATGAGAATAGCATTTTAGGTTGACAATCACCTCTATTATCTTCTAACTCCTTGTGATGCTTTTGGTAAAATCTGATGCCATCCTAATTTCTAGATTTCATGGTCCTGGACTTTGTAGGACTAGTTTTATCCCCTTTAACGGTTGTTCAGTGAGCACTCTTGGTCTGAAATGCATGTTTTTCAACTGTTGAACATTTTTCTTTAATTATTTCATTATTTTTCCCCCATTCTTTTTGCCCATTTTCTTTATCTAGAACTCTATTAATCAGACTTCGGATCTCCTGGATTGGTTCTCAAGTTTCTTTATCTTTTCTCTTTTCCATGATAGTTTTGTCTTGATTTCTGGAAGTCTTCCTCCACATTGTCTTCTAGATCTTCAATTGGCATTTAAATTTTGGTTAACGTATTTTTTATGATTTTTAAGAATATCTTTTCTTCTTGGGTGGTTCATTTTTTCAAGACAGTCTATTCTTGTTTCATATGTAAAATGTTCTCTCATTTATCAGGGGATTTAGAATATTTTCCAAGTATTTTTCTGATTCTGGGATTTTCTGTTTCCCCTGCTTTTCTCTTCTGTTTTGAACTATTGGAAGTTTTCCTTGGATTTTTGTCCTACGAGGATACCTGTTTATTTTCAAGAGTAGAGTGCTAATAAGCTGGTTGGTGGCTCTGAGTCTGGGCTTGTTGAGTGGTGAGCTCACTGCAAGGTGATGAAGCTGGATCAGGACGTCTTACTGGGGACTTCTGGGAACCAATGGCTGTAGGTCCTTCTCTTTTGGAGCTCTTTGTTTCCTCCAGGAAAGATACTGTCTGCCTGATACTGTTCTGGGAGCAGAGCAAGGAAGGTGGCAGACTGTCTCACCACTGAGCATGTGGTCTCTCACATCACAACCTTAAGCCCCCTATTTTCAGTGCACCACACCAGCCTGTCTTACACAGTGACAGCTGTTCCCAACTCCAGCACTTCTGATCCAGTTTCTCTGCAATAAACGTCTCATCTTTTGGTAGGTTAGTGAATGCGTAGCAGCGTGGCTTTCTGAGATGGAGGAGGAGAGCTGGAAGGGTGTGTCTCACTGTGATCATTTTTTGACCCTGCTTCTGTTGTACTGGGTTATCTCCAACTCTGAGCATCTGTGGGTTCCCTGGAGTTAATTAACTTCTATTTCAATGGCATGGCCTAAATCTTGGCCTTCCAAATTCAATGCTGTTCCTTCCATCATCTACTCTCCTGATTTTAATTTTCTTTATTACTTCACTTCTACCTTCCTCTTTGAAAATTATTTTGTTACTGTTATTTTTTGTGGGGCTTTAGGAAGGACCCCTCCCCCATCCATCTTTTTTTTTCTTTCTTTTCTGTTTTATTGGTACTGGAGATTGGACTCACTCAACCACTGAGCCACATCCTCATCCCTATTTTGTATTTTATTTAGAGACAGGGTCTCACTGAGTTGCTTGGTGCCTCGCTGTTGCTGAGGCAGCCTCAGCCTCCCAAGCCTCCAGAACCTCTAGGATTACAGGCTTTTACCACTGTGCCTGGCTCCTGTTTGTTTGTAACCTCTGTGTAGGAGCTGCTGCCTAGTGGTGAGGCCAGTTGAAAGCACAGGGTGACATCCTTGTCCTTTCATGGCTAGAAGGTCAGCGACTCTTAGTCCTCGCAGGCCCTCTGCTCTTGCCTTCAATTCATGCTTCAGTGAGGTCCCTCCAGATGTGGGACCCTTGGGCAGGCTCCCAATTAATTGAAATTACAAGTATTAGATATCTTCATCCTGCAGGACTCCATGGCATAGGCATGATAATAACATCACCTGGAGTTCTTGTGATTCTTCACTTTTCCCAAAGCAGTTTCACAAACACCTGGATCTTGGGCTAGCTCTACACACTTGGAACAACCATGTCATTGTCATGCCCGTTTTCACACATGCAGAAACAGAGCTGCAGGTGATGTTGGTTGGTTTGTGTTTAGATAACCACAGGCCTGCTCTTAAAGTGCTCTATGCTAGTGACAGAGACACACGCATCTCCTCAGGGTTGACAAATGAGGAGTTCCGTACCCAGGGCCTGGTAGAGGCAGGCACCTGACACTTTGAGCTGAATATTTCACTCACTTTCCAATAGAAACCAACCACACTGTGTCATGAGAATGAACACACAGTAGAGCGGCAGGAAATCAGAGAAGAGGGGAGAGATCACTCATCCTGGGGATGGTGGGAGAGGCTCATGTGGGTGGTGGGGTTTCACTGGGTCTGGAGGGGAGAACTGAGGAAGGTAGGCATGGGAAACAGAAGCACTCTGGGGAGTGGGATAAGGGAGGAGTCAGGCCGTTGCAAGGACTCTTCCAGGGAAGGAGGGTTATTCCTTACTTGAATTCCTGTTGAGGATCAGATATGTCCCCCTGAGGTATAAGTAGATGACCAGAAGTGTTAGAGGGAGACCAGCTGGGTGGATTATGGAAGGCAGCACTTTGGCAGTCTGGAAGGCAAGCAGATTGCTTGGACTTGATTCTCGGGGGATTAAGGGACTATTCAAGGTAGAGAATTAAGGACAGCAGTGTAGAAAGACAAGTCATGCAGAAATGGCTTCAGGCCACATGTCTAGTAGCTGCTGGTGAGTTGTTGGGTCCAAGTGGGTGGTGGGAGGATGGTCTGAGCAAACTGGGGAGCCCAGGATTAAGGTTCTGATGGGGGATGGGGTGACACAGTGCCACTACTGACGAGCCAGGAAAGAAGCTGAATCCTCATGTTTCTTGGTGGCGTCCTCGTATGTCCCTCCATCATGTCACTAACTGTACTTCCTTTTGTTCTCCTTCCTTCCTGGCAGGGAAAATGTGGGCACGGTGGTCCTGGAAAGGAGACTGATGCATACATTTGTGGTAGTGGCTGGTCAGAGAAGACCTGAACCCTCAACTTCCCTGGAAGATGAGACCCTTCCTTGGATGACCCTGCCTGATGGCCCTCTGGAAGCCTTGCACAAGCAGCAACCAGGACAGAAAACCTTGAGATCGGACACCCTGGAGTCAAAGATGGGGCCCAGAAGGTTGGGGTGAGGCTGTGAGGAGGAGGGTGAAAGCTGGTGGTGTGGTCAAAAGAGACAAGGTATGGGGAGGACTGGAGATTCCAGAAAGTGCATGGCAGAGCCGCAGACCCACCCAGGAGCAGGTGGCTGTGGAAAAGTAACAAATAAATAAATGGCAGAGTCTCTGAGGCTGTGTATTACACTGCGTGAAAACATCAACTGCTGAGTCCAGCTGACACGTCAAGGGGTTTCAACAAAAGCGGGCAGATAGCCAAGATGCCAGGTCCCCTGACCAGCTTTCCAGCTGTCATCAGTACATGTGAGCATGTGCTGGGCACCTGCAGAGAAAGGGCTTGATCCCCCTCTGCAGGTCACTATAGAGAGGGGACATTTTTCAAGAAGGCAAGATAGATCAGCCATGTCAGGAGTTATCTGCCCCTTACCTCTACAGGATTAGACAAATATCAAGGTTAGAGTTGTCTCTCACGTGCCCTCTCAGAACTGGGGGGACACCGTGTGCAGGGTTTCCTGTGTTCTGAGAGGGCAGCCTTTCTAGTCACCCACGTTGCTCCCTCTCGTTGTTGACAGTTGCTCACCCTTGATTGTCCTCACTGGAAGGAGTGCAGTCTTAATTCTAGGAAGGCCCTTGACAACCAGTCCTACACTCTTCTGGGATCTCTGACTGGGGACATTCCCATTTGTAGCCACTCATCCAAATGTCTTTTCCTGTTGATGGCAAAACACATTAGGATGAATTTCTTGCACTGGGTTTAGTTTTCAGTTAGATGTTGCTGGGTTCCGTTTGAGTCAAGGCTGAGGCCCTCTCAGTTCTGTTCCAAGTGCTGGGCCCTCATTTTCATACCGCAGGGACTGTGCTCTTCATCATATGTTTACCACATGTCTAGCAGAGCACCTGATACCGAACTTCCCTCATAAGTGTCTGGTGAATTCCTGAGCAAGAGAACAAATGAAAAATTGACTCTGGTTAATAGATAAGTTTAAAACATGTATACAAATAATCAAGTGCTCACAAATTGTTGAATCCAAGTGAAGGTGGTTGTC